GCCAGCTGGCGGCAGGGCCGGTGGGGGGGAGGGGGGGTGTGGTGGAGGTTCCCGTCTCCCCAGAGGGATGGCTGCCAGGCAGGATCCAGGCAGTGCCCCCGCCTCCGACACGCTCACACTTTTAGTCTGGTCTGGGCAGGGCCGCTTCGCGTGCCCCGGATTGTTTCTGCCCTACCTGGTGCAGGCCGAGGCCAGGGAATCCACTAGAGAGAGGGAGCTGAGAGATGCAGGCCCGGGTCCCAGCTCCTCTTCTCTTGACTTTAGCGGATGGCTGCCAGGCAGGATCCAGGCAGTGCCCCCGCCTCCGACACGCTCACACTTTTAGTCTGGTCTGGGCAGGGCCGCTTCGCGTGCCCCGGATTGTTTCTGCCCTACCTGGTGCAGGCCGAGGCCAGGGAATCCACTAGAGAGAGGGAGCTGAGAGATGCAGGCCCGGGTCCCAGCTCCTCTTCTCTTGACTTTAGCTGCAGTAGGTGGTGCCCCCCTGGTGCTGGAGGCCTGGTGTAGTGTCAGGAGAGGGTTAAAGGCAGAGCTCTCTGGCAGGGAGGTGTCTCCCTGGGATTGGAAGACATTACTCAGTCTCTAAGTCTTGTGTTATTAAACATACATTTCCTGCATCTCCCCCTGAAGCTCTTGGAGCATGCACTCACAGAAGATCAAAAACTGAAGTCTCCCATTCTGTAACTCAGACCCACAATAATACTAGGTAGGATATTTCCATACCACTTTCTTCTGGCCTTTGATATTTATACACTGTAAAGTCAAATGACATACAAATGCAAGCCAGGATGCCAAAATCTACCAACCATCCGTCTCCTTTATTACTTGTGTAACTTTAGCTAGGGTTTAAAAATCCACATGTGCTATTTGATTCTGAACCCTGCCTCTCCTGCTTTGCTCACCTGTCTTTAAAAAACAAACAACAACAACAACAGTAACAAAAACGTAATTGTTTATCTTGCTACTACATTGTTATGGTACCTGTTTTCCTAATCGGTTGTTTGTGGTTTACATAGATGTTGGCCATGCAATATTATTGTGCCTCAAAACATAACCTCTGAGGTCCCTTCCAGTCCTAGTATTCTATGATTCTATGATAGATGACAGTTGTCAAAACCAGCATTTGGTTTCTATTGGGATTGGATACTGGTTCAAAGTACAAAGGGAATGCCTTCATGGTTAGTGTTCAGTGGTGGGATGTACAGAATAGAGTTGAGTCACCCAGTGAGTTGAAAGGGTGAGCTCTAATTCCTGCATAGCTTTCTTGCAATGTCAGTGTCATGTAGAACTTAGTCACATATAAGTGGTGAAAATAGCTAACTTTGCTACTTGACACCAGCTTTAAATGTTGCCTGTTTTCACAAGCATATTTGTGAAAAGGTTTGAAGGCTTTTGAAGTTGTTCTAAAATACTCTTTGTAAGGAACATGTATTGCAATAATGAGGACAAATCCTTGTTATACATGAGAAGGAAGGATATCTGTGACCTGACTGGTGTACTTCTCAGCTTGGGGTGACTGACTTTCTTGTGCATCACTCTGTATTTCTGCCATAGTTTCTAATCAATCAAAAATTTTCCTTTTGCTGATTTTAAGTTACAGTTAACAAGGAATGGTTTCCTGCCTAAAATGTGATTTCCAAAGAATTAATACGGTAACAGTAAAA